GAACCCGCCCCCTGCCCGCGGCGCCGGTGGTCAGGTGGTTCCCTGGCGCCGCCGCTCCGCGCGGCCGGCTCCCGGCCTCTCCTCGGCGTGGCCCTCTCGATTGTCCAGCCCTGGTCCCGCGGGCGAGGGAGAGGGACTCCCTGCCCAGATGCCACGGCCTCGGTCTCTGCACGCCGGTGGCATTCGCGTTGACCGCGGAGGCACCCAGCGGATGCCAGAGGGTGTCCGCGCACCGGCGTGGGCTCAGCCCGAAGTTTGGACGCTCGGAGACCCAGCTGGAGCTCTAGGCGGTGTTGCCCACCCTCCTCTCCCCCTCCTTCGGCCAGTCACCCGACTGTGGACTTTGGTCTCTCCCCACCAGGCCAGGGCGGCTGATGGTTGTGGCGGAAACATCTCAAGGTAGCCGGTCCGCCCCCTCCTCCCCATCCATCTCCTGTCCTCCCCCCCACACCACCACCACCCTGGCTCCTCTCCCTCATGACCGCCTGGGTCCTCCTGCCTGTCAGCCTGTCAGCATTCTCCATCACTGGCATATGGACTGTGTGAGTAAAGCGGGGGGCACCTGGAGCTTGGTGGCACACCCCAAGTCCCTTGTCCTGTGGCAGGCTCCAGGGTGGCACCCAGGGTCACTCCGTCTGTCTCCAATCCTGGCCTGGCACCTGGGCACACAGCCCCTTGGGACAAGCTGGCACCACTGCTGTCCAGCAGGGCGGCCTTGACAGATATGCTTCTAGCCAGGGTAGCTTCCAGAGGCCTCTAGTTGGGGGCCATGTTGTCAGCACTGGCGTGGCATCAAACCTCAGGGCCACCCCAACTTGAGTCCCCAGCAGCAACAACGAAGCCAGAAACCAAGGTGGAAGAATCAGTGGCGGGGGAGGGAATGGCTGGGCCAGGAGAGACCTCGGGGCAGGCTGACTGTTCTGCTTCCACAGGTATGCCATGGCTGTGATGAACCACCATGTGTGCCCTGTGGAGAACTGGTATGGAGCACTCTGCAGACAGCCTCACTCTAAAGCCCTCTTCATCTGTGTCCCCTCCTGGGCTCCAGCTGCAGCCAGTCAGATGGAGACCCTTGGGCCACAGTGCTCTTCTCTGACAGTGGTCCCCAGGCATAACCTCATACCCATCCACCCACTTTCCTTCGCCCCTTTGGCTTGTTTCAGTTAGCCCTGGGAAGTGGGCTCTTCTGCCTCTGCGGGGAGGTCTGGGAGAGGGTCCTCTTCGAGGCCTGAGGCTGCAGGCCAGGGGCCCACGGGCAGCCCTTCCCCCAGTCTCCTGCCTGTCCTGCCTGCCAGGTTCTACAACGAGTCCTGCTCTCCTGACCCTGCTGAGCAAGGGGGCCCCAAGACTTGCTGCACCCTGGACGACGTCCCCCTCATCAGGTAAGGCCTGGGCCTGGGGCAGGTCAGGGAGTTCCAAGGCCCTCCTAGATCCCCGGACAGTACCTCAAGCAAAGACTTGTCCTTGCGTCTCAGGAACCATAATTCTCCTAAGAGCTACTTACTAACTGCACTGTTTGCCAGTTACTATGGGCCAAGCACTCTACTGAGTGCTTTTGCGCGTGGCCGCTTTTAATCCTCCCAGTGGCAAGGCAGCTGCTGCTCTCACCATTTCACAGGTGAGGAAACTGAGGCTCTGGGTTATTATTCACCCATGGCCCAGCTAGTACGTGGAGGCACCTGGATTTAAATTCAAGCCTCAAACTGCCCAACCCAAGTTTTGGCTCAAGGACAGCCAGACCGGGTGCGGGTCCTGGCAAGGAGTCCCAGGGTCCATCAGGCAACTCCTGGACACTCCCTTCTCTCATACACACGAGCTGTGCTTTGGGGCTCATCCTGGAGCCAGTCCATGGACACGGGCCCTTCTCATTCATAAATGCAGATAAAGCAGGTAAGCGCCAGAGGGCCAGGATGGGGGTCCTCTGGCGCTCTACCCCCTTCTCACCCTGTCCTTGCCTTCTCCTCCCAGCAAGTGTGGTTCCTATCCCCCCGAGAGCTGCCTCTTCAGCCTCATTGGCAACGTGGGTGCTTTCATGGGTGAGTTGGACCCTTAGCCCTGATTTGCCAGCCCAGCGGCTCCCCACCGTCTCCCCAGGAAGGTCCGGGAAGCCCTTGCTCCATACAGCCCTGTCCACCGAGGGCTAAGCCAAGAGGAGCAGCTTCCCTCTGGCTCCTTGAAGGCCAAAGGCTGACTCCCTGTTAGCCGCCTGCAGGCCAGAGCCTGAGGAAGCCGCTTCCTGTCCGTTCCTTTCCGGTGCTCATCAGGGCAGGAGCACCAGGGCCTCTGGGGAGAGCTGGCCGGCTTGCGGGCGGGGTGGGGGGGGGGGGGGGGGCTGGAGGAGGCGCCTGGACTGGCCCCTGCCATGCTCTCCTCCCCCAGTGGCCCTGATCTGCCTCCTGCGCTATGGGCAGCTCCTGGAGCAGAGTCGGCACTCCTGGGTCAGCACCACAGCGCTCATCACAGGCTGCACCAACGCTGCGGGCCTCGTGGTGGTCGGCAACTTCCAGGTGCCTCCTCCCTTAAGCTCTGAGTGTGGCCTCACAAGGCCTGGCTCCCTCCGGGACAGCACCTCAAGGCTGTTGGGGCAAGGAAGGACTGGGAGGGGAAGCGGGGAGGAGGAGAGGAGACCCACAAGGGGCGGGGGACCACTTCGCAGATAGGCCCTCTCCCTGGGCCCAGGTGGATCACGCCAAGTCTCTGCACTACGTGGGCGCTGGCGTGGCCTTCCCGGCAGGGCTGCTCTTCGTCTGCCTGCACTGTGCCCTCTCCTACCATGGGGCCACTACGCCCCTGGACCTGGCCGTGGCCTACCTGCGAAGCGTGCTGGCTGTCATCGCCTTCGTCGCCTTGGTCCTCAGTATCCTTCCAGGATGGGACAGCCAGGAGCTCATTCTCTGGCCCACCCTTCCTCCCACCCGAGATCCTTGGGGTCTTCTCTCTCTGGAGAGGCAAGGCCTGGTCACAGTCTGGGACCACAGAAGGGTTGTTGCCCCATGGCCACACATCTACCAAACACTTCCTTAGCCCCACTGCAGGCGGAGTCTTCTTTGTCCATGAGAGTTCACAGCTGCAACACGGAGCAGCTCTGTGCGAGTGGGTGTTTGTTATTGACATCCTCATCTTCTATGGCACCTTCAGCTATGAGTTTGGGGCCATCTCCGCAGACACGCTGGTGGCGGCACTGCAGCCTCCCCCCAGCCGGGCCTGCAAGTCCTCTGGGAGCAGCAGCACCTCCACGCACCTCAACTGTGCCCCCGAGAGTGTCGCCATGATCTGAGGGCTGGGAGGGTGGCTGGCCCAGCCTCCACAGCACCCACCCCGGTTCTCCTTTGCGTTTTGTTTTGTACCAAAAACGATTCTGAGAGAGTATTCTGTCGGGGTCTGGGCTTCCTCACTCCCAGAGACGTGGCCGTCCCGTGACCACCTGTGCCATAGAGGAGCGGGCCCTGCCAGCTGCCACGGCTGCACAGCCTGCTCCCCACCCCACGCTGTTTTGTGTTCAGAGGCCACCTGTCCCTACTCGCCCAGCCAGCCCTTCAGGTGCCTTCTACTCCCAGTGCCAGAGCTAGACCACTGGGGTTTCCTGCTACAGGAATTGGGGGGCTGGGAACAGCAGAGGGGACAGACGTTGTGGGGGAAGGGGAGTGAGCATGCCTTAGTCTACAGGAAGGCCCACTTCGGCCCACTGAGCTGCACTGGGATTCTTCACTCTGCCCTCACTTCCTTTAGGGCAAATAACACAGCAAAACCACGTGGGTATTTTAGTAATTTTTTTTTATATCTATTAAAAGAATTCTAATTTGCATGTTTGTGGTCTGTTCTGGAGAGTCCAGATCCAGGATGGCTTACCCTAAGCAAAGGATGGGAAGAAGCCCTTGCCATGCCCCAATCTTGATTACCTATTACTCTTTAAGAGTAGGGCTGGCAGGGTGTGATATCGCACGCCTGTAATCCCAACATTTTGGAAGGCTGAGGCAGGAGGATCACTTGAGGCCAGGCGTTCAGGACCAGCCTGGACAACATAGTGAGACTCCCCCTCCCCATCTCTACAAAAAAGGTTTTTTTTTTAAATTAGGCTGGGGCGGGCTCAGTGGCTCAGCCTGTAATCCCAGCACTTCAGGAACCTGAGGCACCTGGATTGCTTGAGCCTGCGGGTTCAAGACCAGCCTGGGCAACTTGGGAAGACCTCATCTCTACAATAAATTTTTTTTTCAAATTAGCCAGGCATGGGAGCATATCTGTAGTTCCAGCTACTTGGAAGGCTGAGGCAGAAGGATCGCAGGAACCCAGGAGGTCAACGCTGGGATGGCTATGAGTGTGCCACTGCTCTCCAACCTAGGCAAGAGTGAGACTCCAACTCAAAAAAAAAAAACTAGCCTGGTGTAGCGTGCCTGTAGTCCCAGCTATTTGGGAGGTTCAGGTGGGAGGAGTGCATGAGTCCAGGAGTTCAAAGCTGCAGTAAGTTATGATTACACCACTGCACTCCAGCCTAGGTGACAGATCGAGACCCTGTCTCTTTTTTTTTTTAAGTAGGAGTCACTGTCACCCAGGCTGGAGTGCAGTGGCATGCTCACAGCCACCACAGCCTCGACAAGGTCTTGCCCAGTTGCCCAGGCTGGTTTTGAACCAGGCAGTCCTCTTGCCTCCCCCTCCCAGGGTACTGGATTACAGGCGTGAGTGATGGCACTGAGCCAACCCTGTCTCAAACAAACAAACAATGTGCCAGGTGCCATCCTCTCAAGGGCTTGAAACCCTTCTGAGGCTCTAAGCAGTCTGAAGAACTGAGCTGTTCTGATAATTTTGCCCTTTCCCCACTCGGAGCCTGTCTGAACTTTGATTCCTTAGTGGGAGGCAGGGGGTGGAGGAGGATACAGAGAGCAACTTCAAAATGTGAAAAGCAGTCTTCTCAGTGGATTAACTGAAGGCTCCAAGGTTGACTAGACACTGCAGGGGGAAGTAGTTACTGAGTGCCAGACCCTGACACATTTTGCCTTCCAACCATGAACACACTGAACCAAACTCTGGCTGGTCAAGTGGTCTGGTTCTTTACCTGGGCTCCACTTCCCTGAGTCCAGATGGACCAGCAGGGAGGAGAGGACATCCTGGTGCCTTCTGCAGTTTAGGACCACTGTCCCCAAGAGCAATGGGGACCTGGTAGAGGATGCCGGGCCTCTGACCAGGCCTGTGAGCAATACAGCCGCAGAGTGGATGAAGAAACCTTTAATGAAGCTTTAAGGCATAAGAGTGAGATGTGGTAGAGGGCCAGCACTCAGCCCCATCTGCCTCACGTGTACATGGCTCCATGGAGGTTCTCCAGCCGGTGGCGCTGCTGCTCCTTTCGAGCCTGAAGGAAAGAGGGCACTGAGCAGGGGCCAAACCTACAGCCCACAGGTGAGCTGGTTCTTGCTGTTTTCATGGCTCTGGCATCTGCCCCGCTGAGGCTCTTGCCCCTCGCCCAAGTTACTGGGAAGGCAGCCAGAGCCAGGGACTCTGAGACCTGCCCAAGCTTGCCAAGGTGAGAGATGACAGCAGGGCCAGGGCTGACAAAGTCCTAACATTACAACCCCTCTGCTTCCCCACCAGCCCCTACCTTATCTCGTCTGTGTTCCTCATAAGTGTTGTCATCGGTGGGCAGCTCATGGCGGCACAGGGGGCAGGAATTTGTCTGGGGAAAGTAGGGTAGCGTTCCAGCCTGAGTCTGGTCTTCGTGAGCTAATCACCTTCCCCTGCTGTCCATTTCCACCCCTAATTCCACCCTTGGATCCTCCAACCATCCGTAACAGAAAGCAGCTGGGGTACCTGGCCCAGGGCAGGGTGAGGGCTGGCAGAAGCCAAGCAATACCTTGCTCAGCCAGGGCAGAATGCAGTTGGAATGGAAGAGATGATGACAAGGCATCTCAATGACCGTCTCCTCCTCCTCAAATTCCAAAAGACACACGGGGCACTTCAGCTCTTTAGGAAGGAGTGCTGATCAGGAGAGCTGCTACATGCCTCACCTCCCAGCTCCCACTCCTGAAGGGCACTCTTGCCGGGACCGGGCCTGGAAAACCGAAGGGCCGGCCCACGGTGTGGCTCGGGGAGGGGTGGGTCCGACCCGCCGCCCAAACAGCCGAAGGACTTAGTATCCTCACCAGCCTGAGAGCCCCTGATGACCGTCCTGGGCAGGCTCTCCACCGCAGTCTTGGCAGCCGGCGGAGGCAGATGGTGATCCCAGTCCACGACCAATCCCAGATCTTGGAAGTCCATGCTACTGAAAAGTGACCTGGGGAGGAGAGTGCGAGGTCAGAACCAAGGAACACAGTCGCGTCAACAGATACACACCCTGCCCGGCTAGTCGTGACAATCGTTACTTGGTAGTCGGCGGACGCTCATCAGATAAAAAGCACGATGGGAAATCGTTTGCAGCTGCTCCTGGACGACCCCAACACCCAGGCCGTGTACGTGGGGCAACAGCCTCGCGGAAGTTACCCACCCAAGCCAGGCAAATGACCCGGTAGAGCCAAAGTCCAGGTCGGCGGCGTGGGTTTCCGCGCCTGTCGTTCCTAACACGTGTAACCCCCCCCACCCAATCCCCCATCCACAC